CATGCTAATATTAGGAGGCAGGTAAGCAAAAATGAAAGGTTTTTGGACGACGTGGCGCGATGGTATTGGGAGTTTGGTTTTGGAAGTATATCGTTTGGTGTAGTTAATTGGAACCTGATCTGATTATTTGGATATGATAAGCAATTAGTAAAAGAAGCCTTCCGTGCTGATCTTTCCATTTAGATTTGCCTCTTGCAATTGCAAAAGCAACATTTTTTTTTCCTTTTCTGTTGTGGACTTCAGTTGGAGTTATAGTAACGTAACATCCCATTTAAATCTTATCAATTATTGCATAAGAGATGCATTCTCCTGTCGTGGCCCGATGGTGGCCACTGCTGTCTAAAAAGACAATTGATGAATTGCACCTTTGATCTAGTTTCAATACTTCTCACGATCAATATTACTAATCTAATCGTTACTTTTGTCAAAAAAAAAGAATTATTGCAGAAGAGACTGCATAGCTACGTATGTTTTTTTGTAGCTTTTTTATTAAAATAATAATGTAATTTTAAAATATTTTTTAATTAATTTTTGTAAAAATTTCATTGATAAACACTAATTTTGAAACAAATACTCTAACCTCCAACTTTAGTTGGTGTTTAGTTTGAAACTAATTTTACAAGTACTGAATTTTAATCCTCATTAAAAGGATGGGTAGAATGGAACATGTGGGGGGTGGGGTAGGGTGGGTAAACTACCGAACAAAACCTTTATTTAAGATTTGACAGAACGGGTCCCGTAGGAAGCAGAGGAGACAAATTTTTGGTGATTAGAGGGTCAATTTCAATCATTTATACAAGTTTGGTGATGCGTACCATTTCTTAATTTTAAGCCGTAATACAAGATAAATCATTAATCATGTAGTTTAATGGTAAAATTATTTGTATTTTTAAGTATGAGTTTAGGTATAATACTTAGTTTTTATGTACTAAAAAGAAGACGTAATACAAGATATGATATAATTGAGTAGATATAGTAAAGAAAAGAATTATCAGGGGAGGACTGAAATTTAAAAACTTGACAAAAACATCCAATGACCACAATAGAAAGGCCCCTTTTTTTTTTTTGTTGGGGTTAACACAAGACCCATTTTAATATCTTAGTGGACATAGTCCATACCAAATTGCATGCATAGTGGACAAGTCCAGAAAGGCAGTAGTCCGCTCCAAAATCCAGAGACATGGGGCTTGTAGAAACAGTTACAAGCCCATTAATGGAATGGAACACTGGATCCAAGAGCATGTTAAGTAAAATTCATAAGTGTTTTAATTTTTTTAATATTATTTATATTTTATAAATTTAAATTTTTTTAAAAAATTTTATATTTTTTAATTTTTTTAATTTAAAAAGACTTTAAATAATAAATTTTAAAAAATTTTAAATTTTTACTTTTTATAAATTTTATTTTTATTCACTTATTAGTATTTTTAAAAATAACTATTAAATATTCTCTTCAATAAAAATTTAAATTTATGATTTTTACTCATTTTTTATTTACTTTTTATTATTTTTAAAAATATTTTTTAAATTTTTTTAATAACCATAAACAATATTAAAAAAATAAAAATTATAATAAAAAAATAAAAACTTCAAAAAACTTCACCGAACATACCTATTAGCAATGTGAATGCTGAATGGAATATATCCCGCACCGCACCACACCACAACACAACAATCCCCTCTCTAGTCAATCCCTCCCCTTAATAATCACATCAACAAGGTCTTTCCTGTCCCCTTTTATTAAATCTTCTGTCCAAAACATAAGCTTCTGGTGGTGCAGATGAAATGTAATTCCTGTTCCTATCATCACTACTAGGGTCGGGTCCCCTCTTTCTCCCCGACTTGTCTAGATGTCTAGACTGGAAAATACTCAAATAGTCAATTATAGGAAGCCCACAATCATTTACATATACTAATATATTTCTTTTAAGAATCTTTTTTTTTTTTCTTAATATATATAGAAATCAAGAATCACTGGTTTTTCCTTTATATGGACCAGAATCCCCTCTCCTTGGACCACTCTTATCTCTCAATAATAAAGGCCGACGGATGCATTCATTTTCTGTTCTATACCCCGACTACATCCTGATCCTCACATGAGAACAACATCACAATTAAAAAGGCGATGAGTCAGTGTGTTCCCAGTTGGGATCTCGATGACAATCCGGCTCCGGCTGCCGCCCGTTACTCCATCCGTTCTAACTCCAACTCCACTGCTCCTGATGTTACCATGTAATATAATTAAACTCTTTTCTCCAATCATAACTTCTATACGTTTGTTCTTTTTTCTGGAACAGCTGGCACTGATACATGTGATCAATTATTTTGCAGGGTAGACTATGAAGTTGCGGAGTTAACATGGGAAAATGGGCAAATTGCCATGCATGGCTTAGGTCCGCCGCGAGTTGTGGTGATGAAACCCATGACTTCCACATCCATATCCAAGTGTACCTGGGATAAACAACCGCGTGCTAGCGGCACCTTGGAATCTATAGTCAACCAAGCCACTCGCTTACTGACGCCGTGCTGCAAGGGTGCTACTACTTCTGATTGCGTTGTCAACAACGATGAACATGTTCCATGGTTCAACCACCACCGCACTACCTCTGCCTCTGCATCCACTGCCACCGTGACTATGGATGCTTTGGTTCCTTGCTCGAATTGGTCCGAGGGCCGGACCACAAAAGTAACGAAATCCGTACCAGCGCTTGTGGGATGCTCCACTCATGTAGCTTCTTGCAGCGGGCCAGTAGCCGCAACCCACGAGGAAGTTTTCCTGAGGCATGCGAGGGAAGCTCCTGTACCCGTGGCAGGGGAGTGGAGCAGCAGAGACCAAAGCGCCAGCGCCAGCGCCACGTTTGGTAGCCAGCAAATGACCCTGGACACGTACGAAAAGGATTTAGGTAGGGGTTTCACTTCTACTTCACTCAGTTCACCTGAAAACACAAGCTCTGAAAAGCCAGGCACCAAGACTACCACCGGCGATGATCATGACTCTGTTTGTCATAG